ACTTGCCCCAGAATGTAAGAAATTCAACTTTCTTTCCCTTTGTTAAAAGTTTTTTTTCTACATAATAGAGCACCTGTCTTAGAAGTTCAAATAAGCAAAGTATTTATATAATACAAATGTTTAAGGGCCAATGCACATCCCATGTCCACTGCCATTCACAACTCCTGTGAGATAGGAAGGTAACGACTCTCAGTTGCCGCTGTAAGTGCTACAATTAAAGCACTTTACTAAATGACATAGTAACTTGGTATCACAAAATTGAAAAGTAGCAGAAAAATTCAGGTCACTCGACTCCTAATAAAAGGTTCTTGCTATACCAAATTGTTCTTAAGCAACATCCCTTCAAAATTCTCCAGGAATGTAGCCATATTGGCCAAACCCTTTCCAGTACCAGATGGTCATTTCTTCAATTGGGAAAAGTTTAATCATTAAAAACAAAGTGTGCTGATCAGAGCTAAACATTAAATTCATTGGACTACAACAAAATATTAAAAGCCAAAGACCAACAACTTTGGTAATTCCTTAAACACCTTAGAGTGTTAAATATAGAATGACCACAATTCTATTCCTAGGTATATGCCCAAGAGAAATGAAGACATATGTTTACACAAAAATAAGTAAAGTAATGCTGATAGCATTGTTCTCTGCTCAGCCAAAAGGTGGAGACAACCCAAATGTCCATCAACTGGAAAAATAAAAACAAAACATATTATCCATACAATGGAATATTCTTTGGGCATAAAAAGGAACAAAGTTCTAATATATAGTAAAGTATATATGAACCCTGAAAATGCCATGCTAAATGAAATGTATGATTACATTTATAAGAAATGTTCAGAACAGACAAATCCAGAGAGACAGAAAGTGTAACTGCCAGGGGCAGGGGCAGGTGGAATAAAAAGGGGTGACTAATAATGGGCACAGGGTTTCTTTCTGGGGGAAATGAGTATGTTCTAAACTGATTGTTATACAACTCTGTGAATATACTAATATCCATAAACTTACACATAAAAAGGGTGAATTTTAGGGTATGTAACTTACATAACCAATAAAATTGTTTAAGAAAAAAATAGTGAAAGACCAAAGGCCCAAAAAACCTATGGGATAAAGAGAATAACCAAAATAGACACTGTTTTGTAAGGAATCTACTCTTACTCCATTCAAAACTAGAATGCAGAAATCAAATTCAGAAGCGAAATATTTAAGAAGACTGTAACTCTCTATGGCAATATTCCCAAATGGAGTTTGACAGAATACATTTCACCCAGGAATCCTTTTCTTAATAATTATAAAAGAATTATATCCATACTTATAATACCATAAGGACTTTTATCACTTTTGATAACAACTTAAAAAATTAAACAGAATCTACCTATACTCCAGAGGGCAGTAACAGTAACATCAACATATTTATATGGTACTATAATTAGTTTGTAAATTGGCTCCCATTCCATTATTTCACTTGAGTCAGGTAGTTTGGGAATTAGACCCAATCTCTGAGATGAAAGAACTTAGACTTTTTCAAGGTCCTTCAATTAATTAGCAGATCGTAGATCTCAGGCTTAAAAAAATTCTTCTGACTTCAAAACCTGTTATCATTGTGATTCTTACTTAACTAATAACACTCTTTGTTTCCTCAGAAAGTTTCCTTATCTATCACCTCTCTAATATTAAGAAAAATACTATTACTGTTTTGCATTAGGGTAAAGGAAGTCCACTGTTCAACTCTAATTCTGTTTTAGTATCTTTTTTTAATTTCTTAGATCAATTTACTTGCTGTCACCAAGTGGCAGAAGAATGTCATACAGAAAATAAGGCTTTTACTAAAGACATGAATTTCCCTAAGTTTCAGGAGAGTGATTCCAAAATCCAGTCACCTACAATGTCACCCACAATTTATAATCAGGTATTTCCACATTTTAATTTTAAAATTCATTAAAATAGCTAACCTTAAACAAAACTTTAGTAAGTTTTAAATAAAAGTACAAACTTAAATAAAACCTTTCACACAAGCCTCTTTAAAATACTTAGGTATGCCTTTAATAGACCAAAATTTCCTAAACTGTTAATTCCATCTAAAACATAGGTGCTGATTTAAAAAAAAAAAAGTTTATAATTTATTTTGACTTAACTTGCTGTCTAAACTCTTAGAGGCATTTATCCTCAAATGGTTTCAAGCTTTAAAACTTAAATAATTTCACTTGAAGCAGTCCCCTTTTACTTAACCTTTTAAACCTTCCTTGGATATTTCAAGCCAGTTTTAAAGGTCCACTGCTTTTCCAATCTGGGTTCCATTTACTACCGAGCCTTCCCCTGGAAACTGTTTCCTAAGTCTACACCTTTCACTTGCTAAAGTGTGTTGTTAGCTGGAAGCCAGACAACTTTATTTTTTCTCCATCAAGTGAAAGCTATTTTCCCTGAATCTGAAATTTGCTTTGGGATATGGATAGGGTAGGGGTTCAGAGGCTACACTGACTTAGAATGCATAGCCTACTATTCTAAACTATATACTGGGTCCCAGGAGTAGAACTCAATCACTCTCAGTCTCTTTAAATTGACTTGTCTACATCCACTGCTTTCATTTTTTCATAAGTTCAGCCTCTTTGTAGGTTACTTTAGTAATATCCACTAAGAACAAACTGAAGAAGTAACATTCCTGAACCAATTAGAACTGAGTCAGGCAAAAATGTGGTAAAGCACTCAAAAGAGTCTAATGATTATTATTTTTATTTATGCTCTCTACTGTTCAAACTCAAGACTCCCAAGTTTCAAAAAATCTGAAAAGCACATGTTCATGGCTTATTAGTTGAATATGTAGGTAATTTTATTCAAACTGTATTTCAGTTGGTTGGAATGGCACAGTCCCAGCATGGACAGACTGATGTGTTCCTTTGCAACTAGGCCTGTTTATTCACTGAAGGGTCATGCTGTTACACAGTCATCTGTTATGTAAGACATTTCAGTACAGAGATTTCTTTTACATAAAAAGAAATGCATCTGAGTAGATTTCAACAACTGTGTGATTTTACTCTGTCAGATGAGAGGTTTTACAGAGGTTTGAGGATTGGAAGGGGATGGTTGTGGAGGGGTAAGAGATGGTGTTCAGAGGATACACTGAGTTAGAATACGTAGCCTACCATCATAATCTATCTAAGCATATCTAATTTTCATCCACCAGATAATTACCCAGTGTGGCAGCTGTCAGGACTGTGCATGACATAAGTGTGAGGTTAGCCACAATCAAAACAGGTTATTTATATACTTCATCATTTCATATCTCATGGAAATAGCTTTCTTTCCTAAAGAAAGTGCATAAACAAACTAGTTTTCCTGGTGCGGCAGACTTTTCCTTTTGCACCTGCTTCTCCCCTCAGCAGTGTATTTTGTCAGTCTGCCTGTTCTGTTCCCCAGCTCTGTCTCTGGTGAATCCTCTCACCCTCCCACGCATTTGGCCTATACCCTGGTTCTTGTGTAAAATGAATAAATCTTTAAAAAAAAAAAAAACAAACTAGTTTTCCTTTTTTAGTACACCTTTAACTGAGTTGCAGTGACCAGTAAGAATGGCCTGGCTGTAGTTTCAGCAATTTTCTTTCCCTTGAAAACGCCCTGCCAGGTGCATTAGTCAGAGGGAAAATGTTCAAGTGCATCCAGCAGGCAAAGAAATGAAAGTAAGACTTTACAGAATCAGATCAAATCACTCAAATTTCTATGTTCAGGTATATACCACTTTCAAGTAAGGTAAAAGACAAGGGAATTTTCAGCATATTTTCTACATGATCTGTATTGTCATTTCACAAATGCTTTATATTGATTCTTTGAAATTTAAGAGAGCAAAGGAAGAGGCCATGCATTGCTTGAAGAATCTGATGAAACTAGACTACTCTCCAACCCTTAGAACACTGTACACACACATATACAGTGATGTTGCCTATGAAAGAATGAATCACCTATCTCCTCAGGCTCCAGCATGGAGCCCTTGAGTGTATAGATCTAGCTTATGAATTTCTTTTCAACAGCATTTTGTCCAGATTTTCAACAGGTAGGGAAAAGAATATTATGGTTTAAAGTCTCTTTAACACACAGTGTCACTGCCAAGTACTTCAAGATCTACAAAAACTTAAATGCAGGTTATCTAGAAATCCTGAGAAAAATCCTTATAAAGTCAAATACATTGACCTTGTTTTCAGTATGAGAATTTCTAGTATATTTATTTTGGTTATTTATCTACTTCATCATTTTAAAACTCATGGACAAGCTTTCTTTCTTAAAGAAAGGGGAGTAAGTTTAGAGGTAAAGGGATAGCTATAACCTGGTGGTGGTAGGCTCCACACTCCAAAGGGGTGCCACAGAGGGTGGGGTTTCCCAGGGGGTGGGGTGATGGAGGAAACCAGTCCCACCTGCTACTCTAGGAAAAAGGATAAAGTATCTCAGTGGGACACTTAGTATCTGAAAGGAGATACTGCTCAGAATGGCATAAAAAATAGAGCCGAATTTTAAAAATCAAGTTTATCCTTTCTCTGAACACCAAAAGAACATGGAGACACTACTGGACCTGTAAAATAATCAGGAGGAGGAATAAGTGTATGAAGGTGTAGAGCCTTGTGGAAAGCAATTATGTGTTCATTCAAATGGAACTGTATTACAGAGAGGGAAAAGAGTAATATGGGGGTGAGGGCAGAAGAAGGAAAGTATTAGAAATTTTTTTAAAGTTGCCTTTTGTTTGGACCTGTGTGATGTTTGCTGTGATACTGTTCGTACACATCTTGCCATGAACAGGAGCAGTCTGGTACCTCTAGGAACACATTTGGGACAGCGCTACAAAGTCACGACTGTCCAATTGCAAACCAAACTGAGTGCAAATTATACTACAACACTCTTGACATTCTCTCAAGTATCAACAAAGTACATGAGCCATTTTATCCCCATCACAGGCATGATTATTTAAGGTGTTTACACGGTACAATCATTATGAAGAAGATCAGGGAGACAGCTTCACTTACATGGTTAATGAAGAGACTCTTGCGTTTTTCTCTCACTGTGAAAACAAAAGAAGCAACAGAAATGTTACACGCCTGCATGCCAACCCCTGCAGACTGCTGAGGATTGGGCCTCTGTGTTGTGGCTCCAACCTTCCACCAAACAATGTACCCAGTTGCTCAATTATTTCATAAAATTTGTAAGCATGCACTGATATAAAATGCTGAACAGGGCCTCCCTGGTGGCACACAGACGGTTGAGCACAGCGCTATGAAGCTGTCCTCAGCCTCTGCAGTGTGGGTTCGATTCCTGGCCAGCCAGGGAGAAACCCACATGGCGTGGCCAACCTCTCTTGTCTCGCCTGCTGCTCCCCTCAGCAGTGTCTGCCTGTTCTGTTCCCTGCTCTGTCTCTGGTGGATCCTCATCCTCCCATGCCTCTGACCTGTACTCCAGTTCTTGTATAAATAAATAAATCTTTAAAAAATTAAATAAAATGTTAAACAAAAAATAAAGGACTATTTCTAACCCAATCAGACCCATAAAGGCCCATATGTATAAAAAATAAATAATAGAAACAATATTGATCACAGCATTAAGACACAGCATAGACAATGTAGTCAGCAGCATTAATCGTGGAAACCAATTACTCTCCGTGCTAGTGAATTTAACTGGCTTTTGTCTAGGGACCTCCTGGAACATCTTACAGCCCCTTCTCCCTCCATGAGGCTAATGAAATTTACAATAAAAATTACCTTGTCTAAAATATTGCTTCTCACATTGCTATGTGCTTGGCACAAATGCAGTAAGTGGCTCAGCCTTCTGTATCCCAAACTTACTTTCTCTTGAAATTATGGACCTTAGTCCCACAGATGTACAAGGCAGAAAGGGAACCTTTTAATACCTAATGTTACTGAATTTTGTGCTTGCTTTCTTGAAAACTTACTTTTGTGGGTATTTACTAATCAATCAACACATTTATTGAGTAGGTCACTGTACAGGATATAAAGAGTAGGCTTCCTTCAAAAAGATGACATCTGCGTTTCCTTGGATTCAGTAATGTTATCTCAGGGTTTCCTAAAATGATAGTGTACAAATCCAGTTTATCGACTGAGCAAGTTTTTTCCCCTTGGAGTCTATGCCCCAAATGCAGATTCACTAGTTTTCAAAAGTCCATCAACTGAGATGATGGAGGGATATGGTAACTGTTTTCCTGTGTTTACATTCTGATCGCCGATTCACAAGGGAACATGTCTCTTTTCCTTAGTTCTTTTCTCTCTGGAATGAATGCTGTTTCCTTTTTTTATTTCGAGAAGCAAAAGCAAACACCAGCCTGAGAATACTGCTGGGAAAAGGTGCCAACGGCCAGCCATAAGATGCGCCTACCAACACACCACTGTTGTACACCACACACATAGCAGAGGTACCCTAGCCAGGCAGAAGGCCAGCACAAACAGCTCAGTGCACAGACAATGGCAGTTGACAATGTCTGCTGGTCACTATGTGAGAGACTGTATGATTACATATACATACACATATGAACCCATAACAGAAAAGAAAATGAGGATCTGCCAAGAAGCACTGGATTTTATCTTTTTGGCATACATACTTTGTGTGTGTTCACATGTGTGTGTGTGTACATGCATGTGTATGGGTGTGTGTGTATACATTTGTGTCTTCCTTAAATTAATTCAATACTCAATTATTGTGCATGTAGCCAAGGTTGCTCCACCACATGAGGGAATGATGACATTTCTATGGTGACTTCTCACTGGCTGAAAGCTACTTTCTACACAGGCTGCCAACCTGCCTGGTTTCCCAGCAAATTCCTAAGATGCCAGCCCTTTCTAGAACATCCCACCAATATAGGTATGTGCAGATATTATATCTCCCAGTCATGGGAACTGCAAAACCTGACATCATGCCTTGCCTCCAGCAGATAAAAGACATCCACACCTCAAGAAATACTGGAGCTTCTTATTACTGACGAGTAAGAGTTATTAAAAATAGGAGACAGTTGAGATACAGAATCTTTAATAGCTTGGTTAAGTTTCTAAGTTTTAACAAGAAAACTTAAATAGAAGACAAAAGCACAGAAATGACTAGGGATATCGCAAAAGTACATGCTATTCTTATAGATTCCCCAACCAGGAAAATATCAGGGAATAATCAGTCCACTTTCATTTTCATGAACCCAACAGGTTCCAATTAGCTGCAGAAGTTTATTAAGACTATTCACCTAAGGGTAAGATATTTGACTCTATTTTAGAATAGCTTAGGCACTCACTGTTTTTATACAAATGACCACCTAAACACTATCTAATTTACCTAAGCTCAACTGAGCCTGCTGACCTGAGCTGAAATTTCAGTTCATGATGCCTGAATTAGGTATCACCTTCCTGTATTATTTTTTAATGTCATTCCTAAGAGGGCCTTTGCAAGATCAAATCTGCACAGTATCTGAGAGGCTTTTCCACTCATACATATGACTGATTTCCTTTTGAAGTGTATCCTGAATCCTTAAACCAAATGCCTATCTCTATGCAAACAGGGAAGATTCCTTGTGTCTACACCAGATGATCCTCACCATAATGGGTGGATACCCATTCCTAATAGAGCTGGGCTATTTCCCTCTCCTGGGGATTTGGAAATGCTAGCTTATCACCAGTAGAATCTACCTTCAGGTATGGAGCGGGGTAGTCTGGATGTGGGATGGAGTGGAGGTAGGCTGGGGTGGGGTGTGCATCTCCTGCACAGAACAAAATTAGCACAGCAGATTTGAGCTCCGTCTTTTAAAAGGCCAGCTTGCAAGAAAGGCTTCATTGGCTGGTGTCTGGGAGTGTGGATTTGGGGAGGGATCCCACCACTCTTTTTTTTTTTTTAAGAGGCATGTATTATTTATTTATTTGTTTATTTATTTATTTGTTTGTTTGTTTGTACATGTACAGTCAGAAGCGCGGGAGGGTGAGAGAATTCACCAGAGCCAGAGCAGACAGAAGGACCGAAGTACACTGCTGAGGGGAGCAGCGGGCGTCAGGAGAGGTCTGCGCGCCATGTGGGACTCTCCTCCGGTGACCGGGGAGCAGCCAGGGAGCAGCCGGGGATCCAACTGGCACCACAGAGGCCGTGGGGAGCTTCGCAACCAAGAGCTCAACTGCTGCGCCACCGGGGAGGCCAGGATCCCACCACTCTTAACTATAAGGGTGATTCACTGAGTTTAAACTGTACAAAGAATATGGCTTATGCCGAGTTCCTGCTTTCCTCCTGGGAATCTAGAGTGTTGGTATGTACAAGGCAGATACTTCCTATATGACCAGTCCACAAAAAAAAAAACATTGTGGTCACTGCGTCTCTACGAAGCCTCTCTGACTGGCAACATAGCACAACTCATTACTAGAGAAAGCTAGTGTGTCCTGTGTGACTCCTTTTGGAAACTTTTACCTGGTTTCCTCTGGAGTTCATCCCAGACATCTTTAACTTACCCTGATTTTGCTGCGTAGCCTTCCATTTAATAGGTCCTCACCGCAAGACTCTACATTAAATGCTATGGTTCCTCTTACTGAATCACTGAACTTGGGGTGGTCTTAAGGACTTCAAAACAGCCACCACGTAGACAAGAACAGATGGCAGAGGTGCGGGGGTCCACAGGGAGAAGTTATGTGCTTCCTTAGTTCTTAATGGCTTAGTCCTTAGATCTGTTGGAGCTGCCCCAGGAGGCTGAGCCCTTCACCCTTGGGCCATGAGGTACCAGGCATTAGGCTGGCCACAATTCAGGTTTCTGAAAGACCCTGATACCCTTAAAATTAATGATTCCTTTTCCCCTAAGCTAAGAGCAGGACTAAGACACAATTATGAAGGAGAAATAATAAAGTAAGTTAACACTCTTACACTGCTATCACCAAAATTTTTTTTTAAAAGACCAATAAAATCACCCCAATCTAAACCTGTCTTTAAAATAAATTTGGAACCGGGCCTCCATGGTGGTGCAGGTGGTTGAGCACAGTGCTGTGAAGCTGTCTGCAGCCTCTGCAGTGCGGGTTCGATCCCGGCGGGGCGGGGAGATACCCACATGGTGCAGCAGACCTCTCCTGTCTCGCCCGCTGCTCCCCTCAGCAGTGTATTTCACTCAGTCTGCCTGTTCTGTTCCCCACTATATCTCTGGTGAATCCTCTCAGCCTTCTGCACATCTCGCCTGTACCCTGGTTCTTGTGTAAATAAATAAATCTTTAAAATAAATAAACAAATAAATAAATGAAATAAATTTGAAACCACTGTGGCCACTAATCAGCTCTGAAATTCAAAGTCATTCAGCAATTTTGCTTTATGTATAGTACAAGCAATATGCCAAGTCATTTCCAATGTTGGGTTTAATCATATTTAAATCTCAATATTTTTTATTAAATTACCTATCAATCAAAATCTCTTGAATTCTCAACTCCTTACAGAATCAATACTAATACTTACATTTTACTATAATGGGAAAACATGCAGTGAATTACCACATAATGTAGTTCATAAATTTCACTTTTTTGTGAAGAATAACAGCTATCGCCTTTGATCCTATCTATGATGTCTTAACTGTGAAAGGTCCTTTAATTGGCTACTGCAATTGTCCATAAAGACTTAAATGCAAAATCTACAATCTACTACTTGTTTAAAAACAAGTCATCTAAAATGAGCAAAACACCATTGCTGACATTAAAGGTCTTCTATAAAAAAAGGGGTTTGTCACAGTATCTGCAAAAGGAGGGATTAACAAAACACCACTTATCTTATTATAGGTCACCCCTCTGCCACAATGTCACAGAAGCAAAATTTCTTTGCTCTTAAAAATTAATACAGCTTTCTAAAAAACCCAATTTCTAATTACTGAGGATTTGTTAACAACTTAAATGCAACTTGAGCTAACTTCTTTTACAGGCAGGTATTTAAAAAGCCTCATCTAGAAGGGAGTTGGGGAATTAAGGATTAGTGTCTCGGCGAGGAGAGTCAGAAACCATCAGAAAGGGAAGGAAAGATTGAGAAACAGCAAGTCAGGAGCAGGACCAGTTCACTGGCAAG